AAAAGTGCCTTTTCGTTTGCTCGTAAACGAAAAGTAAACGAACATCTATATTATCCCTTGGGCTATTCTACTCGGTCAACCTTAGATGTTTTTAAGGCATAAATTAAGAAAAGTAAATAAAATTAAACGAAAAAAGCACAGTTCGGCTACCCGTTGAACGTAACAACACTGTCAAAAAATATTCTTCGACACATGTGAGACGGGAACGTTCAACACGGAGAGAAATATTCAATAAAAATTACGTATCTTTTCCGTAATTTCGGAGCGTAATGTGGTTGTAGGAAATTTTACGGAACTGTCACGGAATTTTTCCAGAGAGTTCCGTAATTTTTATCTGAAATTCCTGTGAAGAATTACGATGCTGTCACTTAAATTTTCTGAGTCGATTCCGTAATCGCTGAGCGAATTGGGAGTTCCGTAATTTTTACTGAACATTTCTCTCCGTGAACTCGTGTGATTGATAGCCCTTAGCTTTGCCTCGAACCGTCAACTTTACACTCGTGAAAATTCCGTCTCACTCGTATCGAAATATATAAGTCGAATTTATGCATTTTATGCAATTTATGAAACTAGACTCATCCCACCTTCTAGGGACAATTTATGAAATTTATACAATTTATGAAATTACATATGAAATTACGCAAAGACCATTCCTTACGACTCATCCCACCTCCCGCACGAAAAAAGTTAATAGAAAAACCTATCGAATTCGTTAGAAAAATCTATAATATTTCTATTAAACTTTCTATTAGTTTTTGGCTGATTCTATTGACATGTTCTATAGAAAACATTCAATAGAAAAAGTCAACAGAATTCGATTTTTCTGTATAACTTATTCTATTGAGATATGTTCTATAGAATTTGCTCGACTCAAATTTTCCAATTTTTTTCATTCTATTTTTCTTTTCTTCTCATCAAGAAAATCAAACGAAAAACTTAGAAAATTTGAATCGAGAAAATTCTATAGAAAATATCTCAATAGAATAATTTATACAGAAAAATTGAATTCTATTGACTTTTTCTACTGAATATTTTCTATTGAACATTTTAATAGAATCGGCCAAAAACTAATGGAACAGTTCAATAGAAATTCAATAGAATTTTCTATCGAATTCGATAGGTTTTTCGCACTCGTATCGAAAAATGACTATTTTTTTCTGTGTGAAAAAATGTAATTTTTTGTTTCACTCAGGGGTTTGAATGCCTGAGGTGTTGAAAGAATTTTTTGAATCGGGAAGAATTATCGGAGAGAGATTTGGATGCTTCCTAGGGGTGGTTTTGGAGGGGTTGCTACAGGGTGGGTTGAAATCGCCCACGATGCTGCGCACAGCCTCCGCCATGGACCGCCTTTGTGGAGTAAAATGGTGGTTTTACACTGAGAAAAATAATTTTTTTTTACAAGTATATATTTACTTCTCAAGAAACTCATGGCGTAAAAATTAACAAAAAAAAAAATCTGACACTGAGAAAAAATAACTTTCGGCAAGGGATTTTGTACTTGTACATTCAGGGACATGTGGATGATTGTCAGCACTCTGTCGTAACTTTACTTATGACAGTGCACACTAAGGAGAATAAACCTGATCAGCAGTGATGTTTATCACTGAAATTGGCTGATAGATTCCCAAAAATTAGAGAAGAGTTCCTGAAAATCAGTGAGATTACTCTGAAAATAGAGATGGGCACGTGAAAAACAGTGACAGTGCTCGGAAAATTAGTGAAGACGCCCCTGAGAATTAGTGACGATGTCGCTGGAAATGAGTCGTAATGTCACTGGAAATTAGTGACAATGTCACTTAAAATTGATGACAAAATCACTGAATTTTCCAATTTGGTACTCACTGAATTTCACAATGGCGAATCCCTCATAACTGGAGATAAATTCCTGAAAATCAGTGACATGTCCCTGTTCTGAATGATACTGTTCTGAAGATTAACGATAAGGTCCCCCACAATTTTTGTCGATTTCACAATTGGAGATGAATTCCTAAAAATAAGTCACATGTCCCCGGAAATCAGTGACATTGCTCTGGAAATTGATGAGGACATCACTAGAAATGATTGATAATGTGAGTTAAAATTAGTGATGAAATGTCAAAATAATGTCACTTAAAATTACTGACAACATCAATAGATTTTACAATTTTACACTTACTGCATTTCACAGTCGCGAAATGTTCCTGGAAACCAGTGTATTGTTCTGAAGATTAGTGATAATGTTCCTCACAATTTTTACTGATTTCGCTGGGAATTAGTGATAGTGTCATTTTAAATTAGTAATAAAATCACTAAATTTCAGAATTTTGTACTCAGAGAATTTCACAATTGTGAATCCCTCATAATTGGGGATAAATTCCTGAAAATCAGTGATATGTCCTTGGAAACCAGGGACACTGTTCTGAAACTTAGTGATGATGTCCCTGAGAATTAGTGGCGATGTCACTAAAAATTAATGATAATGTCTCTTAAAATTAGTCACAAAATCACTGAATTTCAAAATTTTGCACTCATTGAATTTCACAACCGCGAATCTCATAATTGGGCATAAATTCCTAAAAATCAGTGACATGTCCCTGGAAACCAATGACACTGTTCTGAAACTTAGTGATGATGTCCCTGAGAATTAGTGACAAAATCACTGAATTACAAAATTTGGCACTCACTGCACACTGTTAAATTTTTTTTGAAATTTTACGGAAGATATTATAGTAAATCTCATAAGAGTAACATTAAATCGGATTTAGGGGAAAAACGGTTATGAAATTTCAAGTTTTAAATAGAATTCACGGAAATTTACGAGCTTTCAGTGGGAGTGAGATCGAAATTTCATAACTTGATTAAATTTTCAGTGAAACATGGGTTTTTCTGAACTTTCACAGAATAATCGAACTGAAAAATCAAGTATTTCATTAATTTCCAGAGAATTTGAGCAGAAAATCAATGGAATATTTGATTTTTCAATGACAAGATTTCCGGAAATTTTAGTGGAACTTGAACGCATAATAACTTCCCAAATTTAGCACGAAAAATTCAAACGAAAATTTTCAACAGTGCATTTCACAATCGCGAATCTCTTATAACTGAGGATACATTCCTGAAAATCAGTGACATGTACCTGGAAATGAAAGCAATTTTTTCCTGTGCATAATCATGTTAGAATCCTATTCACCAATAAAAACGGCCAGGACAGCCGGCGAAGGGGAGGGTGCGGTCTACCCCGGTACGAAATCAATATCACGAGTACTCCCTCCCTCCATATCACACGGTTATACGTATAATCCCCTCCAACGCCCCCCCCCCTCCCACACAACGCCCGCAAGTCAGCCGCATTCTCAACCCCCACTAGCTATTATTGGTACTCAGCCAGCGAGTTAATGCGATTGTAATTTCATAAACTGGAACAATATGATTAATGAGATCATTTTTTTGCGCAAGTTGAGAATGCCGGTGGGAGGGGGAAAAATGTGCGTTGCAATGTGGTATGTCTGACATACTGTGTCATGTTCCTTGTACCTTGAATGCAGTGTTTGTCCAACATCGATTTGTTGATTATTTGAATATTTCATGATCGATGATACCATGTTTTGATCGATTTATCACTTATTCATAAGATGCTGGTATTTTTAGATACTAATATTTTAGTGTCATCATGCTAATTGACATCACGGAAATGTGTGTCATTTAAGAACAGAATTATGGTTTTTATCACGGAGAAAAAAGTTGGAGAAAAATTACCTCACAGGTCGAGTAATCGTACACTGTTAAAAAATTTTGTCTTAATTCTCCGGTAAACTTTTCGGAAATTTTTATCGAATTCAATTACCACTGAAATTCCAAGGAATAATCATTTGAATGAAATTCATTCAATCATTTGTGATATTGAGTATCACATACAATTCAATTTTCAACAAATTGAGAATTCAGAATATTTGTTGCCTGAATTTTCAAGATTCTCAAGATTTTTCAGCACCGCATGGGCCTGAAAATCGAGAATTACTTAAATATTCAAGAAATTAACTAATTCGTCAATGAAAAAATGTACACTGATGGAATGATTCATTTATTCAAAACGACATTCATTAACTGTTAACGAATATTCATTAATAGTTATGGAATGGGTCACTTCAAAGGTGAAAATCGAGTCAAAGAAGGTTCTTCAAATATGCATTTGTTAACTATTAACGAGTGAACATTGGGTGACACCGAATAGACCCTAGCCTCCAACCAAATGCATTTGTTAACAATAACTAATGCTTTCTATCAGTGTACATTTAAAGCTTTTTCACTTGAAATTTCAAGAGTAATTTTCTAGCAGTGCACTGTTAGAAAAAAATGAAATTTCATGAACAGTTGACTACTAATTTCCAAGACAGTGACACTGAATGCGATTTAGGGGCAAAAAATCATGAAATTTCCGGTTACACTGAAAACTCGGTAAAATTTCAGAATTTTAAGCAGCCCAAAGGCGAGAATTTTTTGTTATTCTACGCTTCAGAACTGTAATGAAATGATGTCAAAATTTTGAAATGATGCGATTATTTTATCACCTTTAAAAAAATTCCTAAAAAATTACTCATTTCCGGGTGTCCAAAGGGTTTTCCCCCTTAATTTATTTGAATTCCCAATCTAATATGAATATTCAGTGCCAAATTATATTGACTTTTCAGTGAAATTTGATATTTCATGTTTTTTACCCCTACATTGCATTCAGTGTCACTGTTCTTAAAAATTCCAAAATATATTTACCGGAATCAATGGAAAACCAGAAAATTCCGGTAAATATATTCTGGAATTTTCTGATTTTCTATTCACTTTCATGGAAAAATGGAACTCAAATTGACAATTCTCTTTGATTTTTCCACGAAATTCTGAATTTTCAATGACGAAATTCCTTGAAATTTCAGTGGTAATTAAGTTCGATAAAAATTTCCAAAAAGTGCACCGGAAATTTCCTACAAAATTTTTTAACAGTATTCCTCCGACGGTCATCCTTTCCTCACCTGACTGATCCTAAATAAATATCGATGTCATCTCGAATTCCCACTTAACTATGAACTAACAAATAAGAGGTGTACAAATCACCTCAACTCATTAACTGTCACCACCCAAGGCTCCTTTTCGATAATTCAAACTCATTGTTATGCCGAAGTCGCCGTTCCACTCCGCTCAAACGCAGTAGAAGTTAATTCTATCTTATTGTACACAAATGCTGAGGCAATGACGAAGTGATACACGTCCTCGACTCAGTTGCCAAATATATATTGAGTGCTTCTTTTATTTTTCCGTAGGACACGTCGACTAATGATTTTATTTAGAAGACATGAGTTTTTCAGTTTCCGTCCTCACTGTTTGTTGTTTAAAAATATAAACACGACTGAAAAGTATAAATACGATGACTTGTATTTGTTGCAGTGATCAGAGATTTGAATAATACTAGAACAAGTAAATATTGTTAAATGTAAAAATAGCGTAACAAGGAGGAAATTCGTATGAAGGCACAATACCATGCCTTTGTCCTGGAATGCACTGGCGCTTTAATGCAGTCAAAGACGAATGATGTATATTTCAAGTCACGCCACACCACCGAGATCTGTCGACGTAGCTGAAAATGTTAGCTACCAGCTAGAGTACATTGGATTGCACAACTGTTGCAATCTGGCGCCACAACAAATATTGCCAACAAAATTCCCCCAATGTTGAGGTAAGTGTTGGTTACCAAAGGTACTGCGCTGTTGATAGGTTTATTTTTATTTTTATGGATTGTGAAAATGATTCAACCTACGCAATTTCTCGGTTTCATTGTATTCAATAGCGTTGTGGTGAAACAACACGCACGAAGAAAATTGATGCAAAAAACAAGGCCAATTCGCTAGGAAATTCTAGTGAATTTCTACTGATATTCTATCGGTTTCAGGGCGATTCTATGGAAAAACTGAGGAAAATTTGAACCGAGGATTTCCTACGAGAAATAGCTAAGTAGAATCAATTGTATAATAGTATATTCCGATACGAGTGCGTAAATAGTATATTGTGTTACAAGTGCGCAAAGAAGCACTTTTTCGCACGCACACATAATACATCCTATTTTTTGTGATATCTGTAAAGTTTACTTTTCGGAATGGTAGTAGAGATAAAGTGGTTGTTTTTGTGCACGAAGTGCGTAAAGTAAATTTCGTGTGCGTAAAGCCAAGCTTTACGCACGAGAATTTACTTTACACACAACCTCTGAACTTTACGCCCGCCGTACGTAAAACAATAACTTTACGCACACTAAACGGTTTGGAAAAATAAACTTTTCAGGTAGGTATCACAAAAAGATTGTTTCCCAAATGACCCCCCCCCCCATAATGAAATCATAAATGGAAATTCAAGTTTCGTGGTAGAATCTAAAATAAAAGAATCACCTAAATGGGGATATGATGGTTTCCATACCTTAGACGTTTTAATTAGCAGAAAAAAATTATTTGAAGTCAAAATAACAGAACACCAAATAATTAAATTTAAAAATAGTTGAATGCAGCCAAAACCCCCAGTTCTTGGATGAGTAGGTCATATTTTTTTTATTTATTGAATGTTGATCAATAGAAAAAAATAGGAGAAAGGGGGGGGGGTAAATGGACCGTGTGGGTAAAGTGGACTCCCATCTTCTTTTTTTTTTCATTTTTTTCATTAAAAAAATATTTTTTCGTGTTGAGCGGAATAAAATGAAACTGCGAAGCAAAATAAACTCCGAAGACAAACAATTATTGCTAACTTTTTTACCAAATGATCTTGAGGGTCAAACGACCTTCAATGAGGTTTGGGAGTAAGAGTCAAACGGCTTTCAAGAACGTTCAGAGTTAAGGGTCAAATCAACTCAGAGTGTAAACAGTCCCTGGAAACGTATAGGGTTATTAAGGGTGAAAAGAGTCTTTCTGATTGCGATTTTTTTTTAACCACACTACCATTTGACGTTTGAGATCTTTTTGCTCTCTCCTACAATTTAAACCTTTTGATACTGTTGCTTCCCTTGTCCGTATAATTTTTCTGATCATTTTCCTTTACTATTTATTTTGAACGTCCCATTAAATCCTTGTTATATTTCTGTGGTGAAGTGGTAAACTAGGATAAATGCAATTTTTTAAAAAAATTTTTTATTGCTTGAATTGAAAGGTCTCTCAAACGTGGTCAAATTTTTTAATTTTCGTGAAAAAAGTTCCATTTTTGCACTTAACCTAGTTTACCCCTTCGTTACAGATAATTCAAACCCCCTCTACTTTTCCAAAGGAAAAGGAGGAAAGCTAAGTGGAGGGATTTTATCCCTCTACTTTTCCATTTGACCCTTGTGACTGTCGGGCTCAGTCTGAGCCTTTATTTGGACAGCGACAATTAAAGTACATCCAAAAAATTCCCCTCATAATTTGATGTCTCGAAAAACGAAAAATATCGGGAGTCCCTTTTACCCGCACTGAACCGATTATTTCTATTTTGATGACGCGTCGTGCGGATTTCGATGATGGTTTCTGAGATTAAATCTACTCTTTTCAGAAGACAACAATGGTTGCAGCACGTTTTTTTCCCTTAGGGGGTCCACTTTACCCCCCTGCCCCTAATTGATCTCATGATTATACACGAGTAATATTATTGAAAGGTGAAATGATCGGTACAATTCTTATTTTATTTGTGGAATATTCAATGCAAGTTGAAATCATCCAGAAATTAACCTGTTTACCCTATTCACGTCAAAATTTATTTAAAAAAACAAATCTGTGAAATCTACCGTTCAAATCCCACGTTAAAGTCCCAATTCCATCCACAAGATGGCAGCACCACTTTGCTTTCCAGGTATTTCGCCAGTGACATCCAATTCGTTGGCCCTACAAAGTAAACTCAGAACCATCAAACATTTTCACCCCTAATTAAACTGGCATTTCCTTTCCAAATGCGCTGAAAAAAATTTAAGACAGTGCGCTGAACTATCGAAGCCCTAACTTTACTCATTGAATCTCTAATTCAGCGAAAAATAAAGTGTAAAGTGAATTGAGTGATGTACTTGAGACTGGAGGAGAGCAAAAATGACAGCTTTGGTTGACGGGTCGAAATGACTCCAGGAAATAACAATGTTCAGTTTTTAACTTGTACAGTATTTTTTGTCACGTAAACTATGACATAAGTGTAAATTATGCCCCGTAAGGAAAGAACGTAAGTCCATTCGCAATGCCAACTTAACCTCACTGTTGACAACTAATTATTATCATTGACAATAAATGTTATTTCTAATGAAGATAGCTATCATTTTTCATATTTATTGCTTTCAAGTTGAAGTTTGGGTTTTTTAAATATGAAGTTTCATAGATTAGTCTTAAAATCTCTCAATTATGGGAAAATATGGAGCATTAGTTTTTCAAAACAAATTCATATGATGTGGGTATGGATGCGTATTGGCCGCTGTTATTCAAGGATTTCTACATGATACACGAATGAGAAAATTTAATAGAAAAACCTACCGCTTATAGTGAAATCATATTGAATTTTTATTGAAACTCTATAACAATTCTATAAAAATTTAATTGTAATTCTCTTTTTTTCCGACTCCTATTTGAGATGATGCAATTTTACCGTCAATTTATTAAAACCTATTTTATAGAAAAAGGTCAGCGCATTTTCATTTTTCTATAGAAATTAAATCCAAGAATACGAAACTAGGAGAATCCTTATTCGAAAATTTTCATGGAAATACTCCCAATAGAATAAGTTATGTGGAAAAATCCACATCTTTATATTTTTTTCTAAAAACAAATATCTCTTGAAAAATGCACCTGAAATTTTTGATAGAATTGGCCTGACATTATTGTACCTGAAAGATACATAATTTGTAATAGAATTGGCGCAAAAAACAAATAGAATTTACTAGTAGAATTCTGATAGAATTCCAATAGAAATTCAATAGAATTTCTTACAGAAAGCGCTAGGATTTTCTATTAGATCTTTTTCGTACGTGAATGTGTTTATTTAAAGTTGCAGTTTGATAGATTCGTCCTAAAGTTACAAAATCATGGAAAAAATTGACTATTATTTTTTCGAAATAAATTCTTATGAATTTATTTGTATGGGTGTGTATGTGCGATAGTTATTTAAGGATGTCTTCATGATACACGATGAGAAAATTTAATAGAATTTAATGATAAAATTTACATTGAATTTCTATTGGAAGTTCATAAGAGTTGTACCAAAATTCTATTGACAAATTTTATTCGTTTCTTGCCCCTATTCTATTGGAGATTATGCAATTTTACCCTGTCAATCTATTAAGAGATATTTAATAGAAAAATTCTGTGGATTTATATTTTTCTATAGAACTTAAATCCAAGAGAAAAAAACTTGGAGAATTCTTGTTCAAAAATTCTTATAGAAATCCTCCCAATAGAATTATATATATGGAACAATCAACATCTCTATACTTTTTTCTATGAACAAATATCTGTTGAAAAATGCACGTAAAAGTTTCCTGTTTTTCCTTCTTTTCTTTTTACAGAGAATTTTACGGAATTCTCACTGAATGTTTAGCTTTCCCAGATGCTTCTACACATATGAAACAATTAAATTTGTTTTTTTTTTCTGCCACTTTGCTATTTGGCCATTCATTTTTCAATAGACATTGCTGATATATTTGACAAAAAGAAGTCAATGAATATACATTTTTCGATCTACTAACTTATTCTGTTGGGTTTTCTTGTCAACTGTTAATTTCACTTCCCTTTCCCTTACGTGAAATAATCGTCTCATCTTCTTTTACCAATGAAAGAATTGTATTCATTAGAAACTTCAATTAGAAAAATTTTATTTTTGAAGGATTCAAAACTAAAACCCGGTTGCACCAACCCTGTTATCCAAATAAACCCCAGGGTACAATTTATTCTCGGGGTCAATTATATCGTAGGGGTCATAATTTTTCAATATTTGCCCTGAAGAATAATTTTTTATTCATCCTGTAGCCCCATTTAAATTAACACTGATTTAATATTGGGATTAAGGCCCGGGTGTACTATCTTTCGAATGTTATTTGGATTTTTTTTATCTTTCGTAATCCAAAATTGTCAATTGAGTGGTACATCATGTAAAAATTCCCAAAAATTATGATAGAATGGTAAAAAAAATAGAAAAAATTCTGAACTTTTTCAAAGAGCGTTTTTAATTGAGATTCAGAATAAGTTGAAAAAAGTGGAAATTACAAATATCCGATTCGCTGTGGCAAATTATCTATTAGCTGCCATTTTCCATGGTCTTACCAGGTCTTAACCTACACTTAAAGTCGATAACTATCGATATCTTGCAAATCTGTCACGCTTATTCCTCATTGGTTCTAGTCGTCTGAGGCGGCAAATTTAATTCACGATTAATTTAATTTTGAGATTTCCAATTATGATTGTTACAATTACAGCGTGCTGTAGCGCGCGTTCGTTCTTGGATAACAAAACACTAACTCCTCATGGGAAATGACAGCTAGGTATCTCTCAATTTTCAAAACAGTGGTATGTAATCATCTGCCATTTTTATGTGATAAAAGTGTGATTAAAAAATTCTCCAAAATATTACAACTTTTTTCAAAGAGCTTTTTCCGTAATAAATGTCTCTGTGCAGTGTGGGAAAATATTTACGAAATCAGTCTTCCCCCTGCATGATGTTGGGTGACAGGCCGCTATCTGTCACCGTAAATCAGATACATTTTTCAATTTCTTGTTATTCAACTTATTCTGAATATAAATTAAAAATGCTCTTTGAAAAAATTAAGAATTTCTTCTACTTTTTTTTGATTATTCATTCATAATTTATCAAAACTTCTGCATGATGCAGGACTCAATTGACAATTTCAGATGACGAAAGATAAAAAAAAAACATCGAGATAACGTTCGAAAGGTAGTACACCCGGCCCTTAAATTTGATTTTTTGTTCCTGGGATGAATTTGAGATATTCCCCCGGGTAAAAAAATCCGTCGAACATCCAAATTTACTTTTTCGTTTTCGTTACCCGGAACTGGTGCAACCGGGCCTAACAGTATTTGTTAGATTAATTCTTATTTGTTAAATGAATTGTTCTAATACCTTTTTCAGAAGATGCAATATTATAAGCAATAAACATACACTGAGAAAAAAAATCTAATATCTGAAACATATTTACTTGAGACAAGTAATTTTTCTTCAATCGCTTAATTCTGCCAAGTATCTCAATTCACGTGGCTCGAGAAAGGTCTCATGCTTTAAAATATTCTTGTACTCACGTATCATTTTGTCGCAAAATGAACTCATTCAAATCATGTAGAACAATCGTCAATCTTCAAGTATTTATTGTTTTCATGATTTTTTTATTGACTTCCAATATTTCGACATGTAATATATTCATGACGTAACGGGGAATGATAGTGATAAATGAGAATTTATTCGAGTTCCGAGAACCGCAAAAATTCTGAGATTTAAGCCATGGAAATAATTTATTCTCTCAAGTAAATATGGTCTGCACAGTAGGAAATTTTTCTCTCAGTGTATGCAATTGCTCATGAGTTTTCTATTTTACAGAAATGCGAAAACATGGGAACGAGACAGAAGAAATCGTATGAATACATATTTCAAGACTCTATCGGATTTATTGCCATCACATCAGGAGGGTCGAAAGCGAAACAAAGTAGACATTCTCATTTACGCAGCGAAATACATAAAGGATCTTACAAATCGTACCGAGGAACTTTTTTATGCGCACGCAGTAGACGCTCACAGTAAGTTCGTTTTATTCTGTAGCTGAACTTCATTCCACTTTTCTTTTTGTCAACAAAATCAAACAAAAATTTGGAAAAAAATCTCAATAGAATAAGTAAGTTATATCGAAAAATCGAATTCTATTGAATTTTCTGTAGAATATTTTCTATTGAACATTTCAATAGAGTCGGTCAAAAACTAATGGAAAGTTTAATAAAAATCCAGCAGAATTGTGTAGCGAATTCACTAGGTTTTTCTATGAAAATTTTTCATGTGTGAGTTATTACCATTTTTTTTTCAAAAAAGATTTTCCCACGAATAGTGAAAAAACAGTAGTTGAAGTTACTTTATTCATATATAATTCATATTTGTTTTTGGTTTCAATCAACAGAAGAAGAACTAAATCGTCTGAAGAAGCTGGTGGCACAGCTCTATTCTCGCACCCAGTTGTTATCGACCCTCTTGAAGGAAGCTGGAATCACAGTGCCACCAGAGCCAGCCCTGGAGAAAATTTCCCCCCTGAAATGGTCAAACAAAATAAACGTCGACGATGTTGACAAGTATTTAGATAGATATAATGAATGTAAGTACAATATCGGTTACGTCGTGTTCGTCTTTGATAATACAGTGGCATTTACAGGGAATTAATTTTTTAAATGAGCAACCAAATGAGCAGACCAAAAAAGTCAATGCTGGGGATTTTCGTCCCTGTTCTGTTTCATTGAAATGAAATATTAAATAACTATTTTATTCCAATTAAAAAAAAAATGTAAATAAATACTATTTCATCGATCGAAATAGACAACTTTCAATATATATTTTTTATTTATTTTTTATTTTTCTATTTCATTGGTTTTATTGAAGTAGTTCTCGATTTGAAACCCCTCTTCTAGCCTGCCTCCCCTCCTTTACTTTTCCTCTCATTGTTATCTGCGTTATCATGGCCGTCTTACTCTTAGCTGTGCCCCATTCGAGCTAGGACTGCACGGGAAACCATGTAAAACCCCAGTCGCACAGCCGGCCGATTGTGCAGTGCCCTAATGTATCCATCTGTCACATTGACTAGATAGAAACGCTAGGCCGCTACACCGTGCCTACCGCCCGTAATTTTTTGTGCGAGCGGGGTGTTCCTAAGCGGTCACCCATCCAAGTACTAACCGAGCGCAACGCTGCTTAGCTTGGATGTCCGCCGGAGCAACACCTCACCCACCTAACCATTACAGTCGGTACTTTGAATATATATTTTCAAATAGTATTTCATCGTACTGAACCATTTGGAATATTATTTCTATTTGATTTTCATCAAAGAGTGCCCAACTCTATTTTCTAGGGATATACCTTAATAAACTAATTGTCTCATCGAAACCCCCCTAATACTCCACAATTCCAATTAATCTCTTCTTAATAACCGTCTTTCCAGGTAAAAAGCCGGTTAAACGTAAGAGTAAGCCAACGGGTGTGCGAGTGCCCTCGAAGAAGAAGCTCCCAGCCACGTCACCAAAAAAATCCCCAGCGGACAAGGACTCGTCAGAGAGTGTAGACACTCCCTCAGAGGACCAAGAGAACCACGTGAGCACGAGTATAATCGATGCCGAGGGCCTCTCCACCCCCGAGACCCCTCCAAAGTCCCCCGAGCCCCGTAACAGTCCTGCCCAGGCTACTACCACCGACTCAACATCATGCGGAAGTGCTGGGCCAAAATCAGGCCCTGGGATTCGTAAGCTGGAGTCTCGAAAGAAGATGAAGAGAAAAAAGCCAGCGCCCGAGGACGAGAAGCAAAGAAAATCACCAGACCTTGCTCACCAGGGAAATCAGCCCCTTGGAAACATAATCCCAGGGACACTGATCCTGTCAGGTGGAAAAATCATGCCCCTGATGACTCCAATAACCCTTCCCTCAAATATCCTCGTCAATGCTCAAGCCCAATCCTCAAATCAAATAATCCTGGGCAATAACCAAGCGAATCCAATGATAGTGATGCAATCAATTGGCAGCAGAATTCAACATTCAGTTGTACCTGTTAGAAATCAAAATATCGTTAAGGCTGTGCAGAAAGTAACTCTCAACACTGTACCAAGTATTCGTACCAATGTTGGAATTAATTCACAAGACTGGGTATCAAATGTTAGAACAATTGTTGAAGCAACTAAAATCGGTGGTAGAAAGGGAATTCTACCCAAGGGTAAAGAGATAACTAAAACAACAATGACGTACAAGGTGCCAATTCCTGCCATCCACAGGGAAGGAATTGTTTCAAAGAATTCAGACAATAATGTTAGTGAAAAAATTGAGCCAAAAAGTAGAATTAAAAAGCCAGGGAAGAGCAAAAAAATTAAGGAGAAAGAGAAAAATTCTATGAGTAAGGATGACAAAATTTTGGATTCTGATAGTTCCAAGAATGAGGAGAAGGGCAGGAAGAGGAAGAATGCAGGTGATGCTGAGTGCTCACCCCCAAAGGTAATCAAATCGTCACTTCCAGAGACTTGTGTATCCATAGAAAATCTTCGACATGTAGTTGAGAAGATTGGAGAGGATGAATGTTCTGATAAACCCCAGAAATTGAATCCAGAGAAGCCAGAATCAGCTCAAAACTCTGTTAAAACTCCATCATCATCCTGTGGAGTCGCAAAAGAGCAGATTTCCCCTCCGGAAAAGTCGGCAGAATTGACAGAGACCTCAAAACCTGAAGAATCTCTCAAAAAATCGAACCCTGAAACTTCCCACGAGCCCCCACCCACTGTAAACCCAACGATCCCCAAATCCTGTGAATCATCAGTGTCACATTCTTCCAATCAGTCATCTCCACCTGAGGATTCTTCATTCCCCCAACTGGAGCCCCCAAAACCCGTGTCAAACCCTCCCCTCTCAGAAGTCGATAAAGCAATGACCGAGACAGAAGACAAAATCCGAGAGACTAAAGACGATTGTGACCTTGGGAGACTGAATAATCTCCTGAATGCAGCGACCAGTCAGCCCCAAGTCCCTGAGGACAGCAGAGCAATAATGGAGAGTGGAAAAATCATCCTGAACCTGGACACAAACACGACAACGACGATGAAACAAGGCACGAGTGTTCCAGGAGACCCAATTCCCCCAGCACCTTCATCAGCTGTTCCTGAAGGACTCCCGAAGGACGAAAAGTCGAAGGAGATGGCCTCCAAGTCTCTGTCGTACCCATCAGGCAGCACTTTCGTTCCAATCAACAGCAGAAACGAGTCCCTCCACTCAGATTTATCGAACGATCTGTTCGCATCACTGCAAGTACCTTCCAGCTCCCACAATCCAGAGTCTATTTCTCCGACTGCAGCATTCCTGATGGCCTTCCCCCTGGTGTCTTCGCTGAACGGAAAAACCGAGGTTCTCGAAGAGGATATGAAGGAGGACCTAAAGTACCACAGCCAGACGCCCCCAATGCTCCTCCAGATAGGCACGATCGAGCCCACGATCTTCAAGCCTAAATCGAACGAAAACAAATGTCAGGAGACGACTCGTGAGAAGGAGAAAACCCCTGAATGCCCGGATAAACCCCTCGATATTGCCCCCAAATCTCTCCCCAAAATCATCAACAATGAGCCCATAAAGGAACGATTGTACAAAGTCGTGCCTTACTCCGAGCCAGCGATGCCGACCTTCCCCTCAGCCTCAACAATTACCTCAAATCCATCAAACCCAGTCCCCCATTCGGACCCTCAACCCAAGAAGATCGTCCAGAATTCCCTGGAGAACCCCCCAAACAATTTACTAGTGATACCAAAACCCGAGGATCAGATGAGAAAGGTCCAGAAGGTTGAGACGAGCTCAATACCTTCTTCAAGACCAATGGACCAAACACCGAAATACGACAGCAACATGAGGTACCCCAGCCACCCAGAGTTCCTCCCGAATTACTCGAACTTCACGAGCACCGACAATCAGATGTCGTCGACACCGAGGGTCTCCTATCCCTCTCACTCGCCCTCACAGGTGCCCCAGCCAGTCTACTCCTACCAAATCCCTCGTCAGACCTTCGTGAATCGTCCCAAGAACGTCAGCTCGATGGACAATCAGATCGTCACCTACACGATGTCCCAGACTCGACCTACAACAGCGCCAGACCCCAACGATTATCAGACCAGGAACGTGAACCCTGTGATGCCAGTGTCATCCCAGAGTCTTCAGTACAACTATCCACCTCGACCGAAGGACTCGTACCCTCATCAGCATCAGGAGCATAGGGTCTACGTGGAGCAAGGACAGGCGAAGGACTCGTCGATCTGCCAGAGCAGCTACTCGATGCACAAGGAGCCCCAGATGTACCACGACTACTCGATCGTCGGTAAAACTTCGAGCCTAGACTCCTTCCAACTATCACGATCGTACGTGCCACCATCATCGTCAATTAAGGATCCTCCCCAGAACTACCAGAGTTATCTGCCAATCGTGCAAACGAAGGAGCAGACACGAGAGGTGCCAGCCAATCTCCCCCAGAACTACCCTGATCAGTCCAAGCAACCGTCACTAGAGACCTTCGACAATCTCCAGAGGGACTTCGACTCAACCCGAAAAGATCCCTTCGTGCCGTCGACGTCTGCTGGCTCAAAGCTCCCCAAGACCCCCCAGAACAATCAGAACAGCGAGGCCCAGAGGATCGAGACTTCAATATCATCAGCAGTGAACAAACACCCTCAGGATCACTTCAACACGAATTACTCGAAAGGAAATGGATCACTGGTTTCTGATCCTCAGTACCAGGTGAAGCGGTCTGAGCCTCAGACCTATGGGCTCTACCCCAGAGACCAAAAGAAGATGTTCGAGAATCCCTCGAATACTCAAGTAAAGCCTCACGTTCAGCCTTCGCTCCCTCGTTACCCTCACCAGTTCCACCAGCAGCAGCAGCAGCAGACGAACGTGACGACTTGCAACTACGGTCAGAGTATAACAGAAAATCCTGGCAAATCCACGACAACAGTTGCTCACAACTCCTCCACCTACAGCATCCTCTCCTGGACGACACTGTCCCCCATGGGTCTAGGAAGCAATAACAATCTCGTGCACTTCGAGGCGGGCGCAGATCACGTTGATGATAACGAGGGAAAAACAATATGCGAGAACTTCAACTACAGTCAGCTGCACAAGGAGACTGTTGGATTTGGGAATATTCTGCAGGGTGAGCAGTACTCAGCACCTGAGGCCATTCTCGATAAGTCAAAGCCAAAAATGTCGAGTGATAATAAACAGGGGTATGAGGACAGCTCGAAGAGCAAGAACGTGCAGAGTATTCAGCAGAAGCAGACGAGCAGAAGTCACAATCAAAATCAGAACCAGAATCAGAGTCAGAATATTGGAGATGATTTCAAGTACAGTGGGGAGAATAAGAACAAGTCCAAGTACTCGATGGACTCGGCATACACCCAGACGGAGTTTGGAGGGTTGGACCAGAGGCACCAGCACACGATCAAGCCCCACCAGATCCCTGAATCCAAGGCTGAGAAGACAGCTTATTCGATTCCTTACGACTCCCAAATAACATTCGACTTGGCTGACCCTGTGGGCCAGTCCCAGACGAAGTGTCCTGACATTTACACTGGGAGTAATTACAAGTACGGAGATGATAAGGATCAGCACTCCCAGATCAAGTACCAGCCGATCCTCCAGGGGCAGGCCCCAGTGGTCCTGAATGACAATGTGAGCTACAATTCGTCTAAAGGGAATCAGCAGCAGCAGCAGCAGCAGAATATGAACAAGTCGAAGGGTGTCCAGCAGCAGGTGCAGCCGGTGAGGCCTCCAGTTAACTGGATGATGACTCCAGAGGTGAAGCACAACTCAAACATTGCGGATTTGATTTTGCCACCGATTGGAAAGGAGCTTGACTTCTGTCAGAATAACATCTTCGGTCAAACGCCTTCTTATAATCAGGGGACGTCGAATCAGTTTTACAACAATTATGATGTGTCTGTGAGTGCTGCCCACAGTTTCTCGAATGTCGGGGCTCTCCAGAGTGACAGATTCTACCCTGAGGAGCAGCCGTTCTCCTGGAGTCCGACGAAGAATCCTCAGAGTGGGGCTGATCATCAGGGCATGAAGACACTGGACCAACAGGTGGTGCCTTCTACGCTGCCAACGCTGGTGGGAGACTTGGCCCTGGGGACAAACATCCCTGAGAAGCAGAGTTTCTTGTTCGGTCAGGTACCACCCAGGAGCAATGAACTGCCCAAGACTTCGGGTAAGGAGAAGGATAGCAATTTTCAGGTGATGCTGAATCCTCAGACTGGGCAGCACACCAACCAGGGAACTTCGTTCTTATCGGTTAGTCAGCTGGTGGAGCATGAGAAAGCGGAAAAGAGTCATCATCAGCAAAATCATCATAGTCATCATCATCATTCACAGGTGAGAATGAATCGGGGGGAATGGACTGATCTGAGAAATTTTATAGAAAACTAGGGGGCTATGCTCGCTCCGCTCGTCAACCCCCATTATCTTTATTCTGACCTTAGCGACCCTTATTTTGACCCTCATGTCCGTTAGTCTGACCCTTGTGACCCTTAATCTGACCCGCATGACCTCTAACCTCTGACCCCCATGTCGCTTATTCTGACCCTCGTGGCCCATATGATCCTTAACCAGGCCGTTAACCTAACCCTTATTCTGACCCTCGTGACCCTTAACCTGATCCCTCTGACAATGATGATTTTTTATTGATGGAACCATTGCGAATAGGAAAAAATGGCTCGGGACATACCCCCCTTAAAATGGCGTGTATTTTACAGAAAAAATTTTTCCCCATCCGAAAATTCGATTTTTTAATTATTTATTAAAAAATTGTTGATAACAAAAAAACTCACAGGAATTCGAGCCGCGGACCTTCATATTCGGTTTCAGTAGGTCGAAAAACATAGAATCCAATGAAAGAATCATCGCGACCTAAAATGTGTGCAAAAACCCCCCTAGCTTACGGACTATATGGAGAGAAATAGAATTAATCATGTTCGAATCATGTACAAACAACCTACAATTTCCACGTGTCTCGAGAACCCAACTGACTACTTACAGTTGATTCTCACCATCGTGTGTGATTGCATTCCGATCATTCACTTAAAATACTTTCATAACATTGTAACCTACAAATTACAGAGGAAATAGTCGTGAGCTCTAACGACAAGAAAGAATCGAGAGCCCGTCACTAATAACCTAGCTGTTGATGTGACGTTAAATCCAAAGAAAGAAAGAAAGAAACAAATTAACCGATGAATTTCTCAATTCACGATAACTGTCCTGTTAAATGTCTATTTTACACGCGTTTAATTTCGGTGAAGTTACAGAGATAATTGTCCAATAAACAAACAAAAATGAAGATGATATTCGATGACTATTTAATACTATTAAATATTCGGATACACTTTGCAAAAGTCGAATGACTCAATGATTGATAAGCAGTGTTACCAGATTGTGACGTCACCCCATTTAAAATTGTACAGGTTTTGGGTATAAATCGCCAAAATCTGGCAACCCTGTTGATAAGATAAATTTCTCGGTGATTTTACGATGATAATTTACACAATGGATTTTCCCACACTTAATATTCGACTGGTGACGAATAACCACTAAAATAGAGTCATACTGGAAAGGGCACTGAGATGCCTGATGCGAGCCGAGAGAGAGGGTCGATTTTCAAGGAAGCCTGTCTCTGCCGTACCGTCAGCCCCAAAAGTATTTCCTTACCCTCCACAGCGTTTCGAGTTCAGCATTGACGTTCAATTACTTTTCGTTGCAAGAAATGGATTTTTATTAATTCAAATTTATGACATGGAATTCATGCGAAAACGTTTTTTCCCAAAAATTATTATTCATGGGGAATTTATTAATTCATGATTTACAAAAATTCCACAAAGAGATCAATTAATAAAATATACAATTCAATAATTTCCAATTCGATCAATCTGAAGATGGTTCGGAATTCCCTGACTCGATATCTTCCTCAGTATTTGGAATAGTAAAATTCGGTATCATCAATATAATTCCTGGAACAGAAAGTCAACGATTGAATATTGGAGATTATCATTGGAAGAGAAATCAATTCTTAAATTTCAGAAAGATGCCTCGGTGTCCCATTAAGTGAATCAGAATCAGTCTCTATTGTCTTTCTAATACTGTAATAAAGAATGAAAAATGTTCCAATTTTTTTTTCATTAGATATGAGTAGGAAAAATCAATGAAAATGTCCAGAGTGTTAGGAGTAGAAAAATTTAATAAACCAAAGTCCAATTCGTGTCATACAAACGATGGAAAAAAATATAAATAAAAGAATGCAGTATGTGGATTTTAATGTTCGTTTGGTGCCAGTTGTAATAAAGTCAGAATCGTCAAAATGAACACTGCAAATAATTGTACCTACACTGACTGCACTTCTGCTGGGCACAACTTTTTTTTCGCCATTGCTCCAAACGTTTCTTACCAAAACTGATAATCAGAAAACAAACATTTTCTATGAAAAAAAAATATATTGAAGGAGTTTTGAACCCGGATCGCCGGTTTGGTAGGCAGACCCGTTGCTACTCGGCCAAAATGCTACTTTGAAAATTATGTGTTATGACTAAACCTTTCGGGTGAAATTTCTCCCGTATTATTAGCCGTCTGCCCCTACTGTCGGGGTGAGGAACAACAACTAGTGACACTCTAACTATTATCAAGCTGAGTGAAAACTTTTACCTACAACCCTTGGCCTCTCCTTGTGAGTAAAAAATAATCATTCATATGTTATATAAAAGAATTTCTCAAATTAATCACTAATATTAATCGTAGTCTTCAATAAAACAATGAAAAAAATCACGTATGGTATGTGAGGTTATTATTGGGAAATCAAAAATTGGGGCAATTTTTTACACAGCAACTGCTCACCATTTCGATTTTAATTTTTCGTCACTAACAATACATAATACTCGTGTACACTTCGTCTAATTTTGTAATGAACAACTTTTTGTGTGTCCAACAGTATTTTTCTTTATTCACAGCATCCCAATTATTTATACAACTCTTGGACTCAATGGGCATAGCTCCAACAAACTTTTTTAACTCGCTTGTACTGCGCGTGGTTTAGTACGCTCTGCGCATGCCCAGCGCCGGAGAGAGTGCGACAGGCTTCCTTGAAAATCTACCTCTCTTTGGCTCGTTTTTTGCTCACGGGCATAGCATGGCAGTTCCCTTTCCAGTATGACTCTATTTCACTGCGAATAACTGACTGAAATCCGGGAGGCGAATTGACACCTCGGGTGAAATCGGTACTCGGCGAGGGTTTCCGAATACCTCAGGCAACAAGTCGGAAAGGTCCGGAATTCTTCCCAAAATCTGACAGGATTTCAAACACACGGTTTTTAGAAACTAACATAGTCATGCTGCAGTCATTGACAGTTTCCAATACAGTCAAACAGTTTCTGGGCGGAAACTGGACTCAAGTGTCACCGTGAGACTGCTTAGATAAGGCAGTTAATGCTTATATGGAAACTGAAATTTTTTCAGTTTCGCGAACGGAAATAATATATGAAATATTATTTGTTCAAGCGTAAAATAATCTACGTATAGACGGGGTCCATACGTCACATTAAATACTCTTTTTATGAACTTTTTGTTCATGAATTTTTTGTTATTCTTGAGAGTAGTGATGAGAATAATAATTTTCCATTCAGTAGAATTCCCCCAGAGGGGGAAAAAGGAAAATATGATGCTCAAATTCAATCGAATGAAAAAAGAAAAGTGTAATTGGCCTAATCTAATCAATTGAATTATAAGACGAATAGAGAATTATTATACTCAGTACTCCCAATAATGAAAAAAATTTAATAAAAACAAATTTTTTTTTGCTTGAATTGTGTCGGATAGTTGTTTTTCATCTATTTCATTTTATCCCACTCTCCCCTAATCCTGGTTATAATCTCTGTTTCCAGGTGCAACCCCAGCCCCGAAAGCAACGGAAAAGCAACACAAGCCCGCGAACAACCGCGAAAAGACAGATGGACATGAGAAAGCAAAGCAACGACCAGCAGATGCAGCAGCACGATGATCAAAAGATACCGTCAACCCATGGATTCTCAGATCAATACCAACAGCAGCCGCAGCAGCAGCAGGCACAACAGTCCCAAAAATACCTGCAGAACGACGGTTTATGGAGAAACCGAAACTGCAAGAGTAATTACACAGCTGAAGCTCTGATCGGCGTCAATAACACAAGTCTTCACGATGGAAGCGCGTCTGACAAGCAGCTCCACGCTCCGGCAATCAAATTCTCAACGGATTACTCTCAGAATAAGTTCCCTGGTAGCCTTGGAACAACCGAGATGGTGATGCCACCGATCAACTACCTGACGAACCCAGAGGACGGCAACGGCTACGGACAAGTGATGAACCAGAACTTCAATCACTCGTCGTACACTTACTCACCGAACACGAACATCTATCCCTCTACGAACTTCATCGCTGGCATCTCGAACACCACGAGTAGCTACATGATGCCACTCCATGAGAATCCCACCGATTACCTCGAGACGAATTCGTTTCTGCTGCCCAATGTCAATAATGTCACAACTTCAAAGTCTGGGATCAACACTTCGTCCAGTGTCTCGTCGGTCTCGACGACCAGAGCATCAGCGTCTGTCACTGCTCCCACAAACGTCAAAAATCAGCATTATAACAACACGGGAAAGCAGCAGCAGTGTGACAAACGAAACTCGTATACGAATGTCTCAAAGAAGAGCAAGCGAAAGTCTGATACGACGATGCAGAACCTGGAGTTTCCCATCGGCGGTGTTGCTGCTACGATGGAGGATTATCACTCTCATCATCACACGCATCCTTCGACCTTTCTGCCTCCACCACCGCATGCTAATCCTCTGTATCAGAACCAGTCGATATCAAATGCTAATAGAAGCAGGGGAGGAAGTGGAAGTGGAAACTCGGTGGCTATGGCACATCATCCGTCCGGAACTAGTCTCACGAACTTCAATCTCAGCACTATATTCCCGGAGATTAATGATAAGGTGAGTGGGGTAAAATGGGATTGGGAAAGAGAATTGAAGCGCCTTGAATGTAATTGGAATAATACGAATGAGTATTTTTTTCTCATAATTTACAAAAAGTTGGAAAATTTGAAAAATGAAAATATCCAAATCCCCAATACGGTTTGGAATAAACTATTGTCGGGGGTGAAATTCCTTCGCGTTTCAATAGAATTGAATGAAAATGTATTTTATAGAAATATGAATGGAGAAGAACTAAGTACCGCATTGATGATTTAATAAATTGCAATTGTCAGCAATTCAAGAGAATGAATGTTTCCATCTCACTTATCAAAGTCCCCGTCAATTAATGACAGACTCAAACTGATAAAACCTGATTAACATTTATTTTTATCAGGTCACAGGGTACAAGCCCCCTAATACAATCCAGCCAGGCTTGTCTCAATCTTCCAATCATCCGTCGACGAGTTATCCTCAACGACCTAACTACACAACAAACAATTCTCTGGGTCATGTTGCACAGGTCAGTGCGTCTTCCCTAATACCTTACGGCTCAATATACAAATGAAATTAACAACATTTTTTCGTCTCGGTTCCTCTCCTCAGGTCTCACAATCGGAGGCAGCTCAATTTACAACCGACTTACCTGTACCACCACCGCCAAGTGTACTCCACTACAAGGCCACTTGACGAACAAAGAATGGACCACCGAATTACACAAAAAAATCGTACTAATTTGAATAGATTTAATGTAATGAAATTTGTACATATTGTCGCATTGGCGAGAGAATTACCTCCGGCAATCTTCGGGCTTCCATATACTCACACGCCTCCACCACTGTTCCCAATCATAGTCGGAGGGAATTCTTCGGCCATTCTAACTTTACGAAGATGTTGAATTAAATGTTAAATTTAATAATATTGATTGTTTTGTGTAGTTTTATTTCATTCCCTTAGAATATTTGAGAAGCTGTTCCAGAATATCAGTGTGTATTCGATTCTAAGGTATTCGAGTAGTAGAAAATATATCTCATATTATTAGAAATAATGGCAAATTTTCAATTTGTGATATGCGAATTTCTACTTATAATCCCATAATACCCATAATAATTGATCAAGTGGATGAAGGGAGAAATATCATGTCATTTTGAAGATCTCCACGAAATCTTCAAAATGGTAATATGGTGTATGGGAAATCCTCATTAGTCAAGTCCAAAGATCCCATAATGGATTAAAATAACGAATTTCAGGGTGTGACAGCACATTCAAACTAGAAACAATGCTCAATAACTTCCTGAGAATTCAACCGAAACGCAATCATCACATCGCAACTTGCTGAATGAATGATGCCCTTCAGGATAATGTATCAATAGTTTAAGGGGAGCCTACTATGAGTTTTAAAAATCGTGGGCTAGTGGAGTGAGATTTCTCATGTATTGAAGATCGATTATATACGTCTAAAAACGAATAAATAGTGCAAAAAAAATTGTTTATTGTTCGTTTGCCTCCCAGACGCTTAGAATATTAAAAACAATCGAGGGCCTCCAATTTTTGAGCTACAGAGGTTTTTTTTGTGGCGGCTAAGTGCAAGTAGCGAAATAAAGACTCGTGGTTGAAATAAGAAAGGCGAAAGATGTGTTTACAATCGAGACTTAAATCGGACTGACTATTTTGGTCAGGAGCGGGAGGGTTTAAATACCTTTTATTATGGTAAGATCGAGAATCGTCCAGAAATTTCGAGAAGAACAATGGTAGCTTTACGTGCGTTTCAAACGTAAGGATACAGAATATTCGAGACGCGTTATATGAATTTCAGAATAATAATTGATTGTGACTTGCACCACATCTTTTCTCAAAATCTTTGAAAAAATGTGTGCAATAACAGTAACAAATTAGTTTTTTGAAATTCGACTCCTACACAACTAATTTCGTTTCGTTTATTGTAAAAAATTGCGACATTCATGTAAAATAGGCAGAAAAATTATCCTTAAAATATTTTATGCCTCTAGTGACGGAAAACCGCGATTCTAACCTCGCTTCGCTCGGTTAAATCGCGGTTTTCAGTCCTCGAGGCATAAAATATCGTGTGCCACACGGCAGTAAAAGTATTTTCTGTACTGCTTCTCATGATTTCTCGTCTGGGAATTGGTATTACATACTTCCCAAACTCGAAAACTTGAAAATCACTACGGAAAAATATTGTTCCTGGGCTGTTGCGATGAGGTTTTTTTACTCGTGTGGTTGGCCAGTCCTCGGCTACAGGTCGGAGGCCAACGCCACACGAGTAAAAAACCCCATCGCAACAGGCCGGAAAAATACTATTTCTGACGAATGTGATTATAACCCTTGCCTTCGGCTCGGGTTAGAACGTCACATTCGTCAGAAAATACTTGTACTCCCTAGGGACACAATATACTATAAAATATATTCTCGATTCTTTCAGAAACATTTTTCGGGCTATTAAACATGAATGGTGCAATTTTTCATTTAAAAAGTAACGAAACTAGCTGTGTAGGTGTTGAATTTCAAAAAAGTAATTCGTATATGAGTTGAAATACTGTGAATGAGAAGATATGAAGGAATTCTTGTGATGAAATGAATTGGAATACCTTATTTTGGGCATCCTTGATTCCTTTAATAAAAAATCCAGTGTAACGTTTTTTGAAGTCAATCTATTCGGCGGATTGTGTCATTAGATTTTTTATAAATGATGATGGCATGCCTTAAAGATATTACGATGATACTTTATTATATTATATTCTATGCTATACTAGATTATAATGCATTGTATCATGTATTATATATAACACATTATGCATATATAATGGTATATACAGGGTGTCCCATTTGAAACAATGCACCCAAATATCTTCTCAGGGGGGCAAGTGACAGGAAATTTTCAGGGACATAAGTTGTAGTTCCGAGGAGGACATTTGATGCATGCATTTTTTTGAGCTTTCATGATCATACTTGCAAGCTGCAAGCACAAGGAGCTTTTGCTTAAACGGCAATCCCATTTTTTACCCTAATGAAACTTGTTCTCCTTGATAAGTAGTTTTCAAATACCTCATCATTCATGTGAACTCCTTCGATTTTACTCGGAGAATGCGACGAAAATGAGTTCTGTTATCAAACTGAAGATTCACACACCCTTGACGCGTCTTGGCATAGATAATTGTTCTGCTAATCCATTTACCAACCGTAGTTATGGAATGTAAACAATAACAAAGCATTCCCCATTACCTCGAGGATTCTGCTATTCGAAACAGTTTCAATTCAACCAGAATCGAGTTAGTATCCCCTGTAATTTCATTGAACACATCACGATCTATTCAGCGAATGAAATTGTCGATATTTTACTCGTATTAGGAGAGTGCCGCGGAGTCTATCGAACCGCTGCCCAGACATATCGAGAGCGGTACCCTAATCGACGACGTCATCCCACAGATGCAGTAATTCGGAACATTGAAAGGAATTGTAGGAGAGGACGAACTTTTCGAGGACAACAACCACAACAACAAGTCACCACTCCGGTTGACTTACAGACGTATCAGGGAGGCTATTGCAAGCATTACGCCCCAAGTTCTTCGAAGGGTAGTTCGAAATTTCCGCCGCCGAATTGAGTTGTGCTTGCAAGTTAACGGTGGAAACATTGAAAAACTCATGAACTCATGAGCGCATGAACTTCCACACATGTTTGCACTATTTTTCCTCTTTTTTTTAGCGCAAGGGATGCGAGCAGACTTTACCTCCACGTGGTGCATCCTGGGTCACGCTAAAAAAGTCTGAATCTTTAGTTTGATAACAGAACTCATTTTCGTCGCAATCTCCGAGTAAAATTAAAGGAGTTCACATGAATGATGAGGTATTTGAAAACAACTCATCAAGGAGAACAAGTTTTATTGGGGTGAAAAATGCGATTGCCATTTTAAAAAAAGCTCCTTATGCTTGCAGCTTGCAAGTATGATCCTGAAAGCTCAAAAAATGCATGCATCAAATGTCCTCCTCGGAACCCTACAACTTATGTCCCTGAAAATTTCCTGTCACTTGCCCCCCTTAGAAGATATTTGGGTGCATTATTTCAAATGGGACACCCTGTATAATATATTATAGCACAATATCGTATACTCAATGTATACTATCATCATTTATAAAAAATCTAACGACACAATACGCCGAATAAATTGGCTTCAAAAAACGTCACACTGGATTTATTGTATACATAAAAAAATAGAATACATTCCTGAAACTTTTCCTTCGGAAAACTTGATTTTCACTTCAGAAATTTAATATAAGACTCTTCACTATAATTGACATACATTAAGCCCCATGGAGTACGGCATACGTGCGCGGAGCACGCGGATTAATCTAGTCAGATTAAAAAAATCAGATTCTGAGTTATCAGGAAGGAATGGTTTGAAGACGAATTAATTCCTGAACGTTCGTGTGCTTACTAGGATATAAGATATGTATACCTGAGAAAGGAGGAAGAATGAAATTAGCGTAAAAACCAGAGAAAAAACCTGTTTTATGAACACCGATCGTTCTACAGGGGAAAATTGTCGGTTTCTTATTTTCTGAAGGTTTTAATTTTTTTAATTTCTGAAATTATTGTTCACCATAATATTCAGATTCCATAGTTACTTTAGAAAGTAAAAAATTTGTGCTTACTTGTAATTGATGAATATGTGATTTTTTATAAAATCCTCGGAATTTAATGTAGTCATATTCATCCTTTTTTCTTTATTAAAAAAACAAAAAAAAAGTTTCCGCCCGGGTTTGAACCGGGGACCTTCCGCGTGTTAGGCGGACGTGATGGGCCAACTACACTACGGAAACAATTGAGAGCAGTGAAAATAAACCTGTTCATAAAGCGGCATTTAAGTATTATGCCACGTGACCAGGACGGGAGACGTAGATGATTCGTAGTGGTCCGCACGCTTTGGCTCTTTTTATGTTTTATGAGTCCTATAATCCGAATTTGGTTGTTGATCTACACTAAAGCCATCCTTTCAAAAATGACTAACAAATAAATTGTTTAAGCGGGTATGAAGTTTGCACAAAAACATGCTCGTGAAGTTATTTTTTGTCCCTTGCTCATTGTCCTTTATTCTAGTATTTTCACTGTATTCTAAAATTTCAGATATTATTTAAATTGGACGAAATATAGAATTCAACGACAGCACATCACAGACAAGAATTTTCAGTTCGTGTGATTGGCAACCCTCGTCTTTGCCTCGTACCGCCAACTTCATACTCATGAAAATTCCGCATCACTCTTATCGAAATATACTATTTCATCACGCTGTGACGAAAAGTGAACTTTTCGGCACGCTCCGCGTGCCTAAAAGTCCAATTTCCGCCACATTGTGATGAAAAATATTGTTCGTAACTCGTGAAACAATGTTTTTTAGCTCGTGGGATTATATCACTCGCCTTCGGCTCGTGATATAAACCTCCCACTCCCCACAAAACACTTTTGTGCACTCGTTACGAAATATACTATTTTGACACTGCTGCTATGTTCACCTCGGACCAAAAAATTATTTACGCGTAAATAAAAAGTCTTTTATGCCACTCGTGCCTGAAACCGGCTGGATTACACACTCGACGCTTCGCGTCTCGTGTCTAATTCAGCCGGTTTCAGGCTTCGTGACATAAAATTTTGTTCAGTACTTGTTGGGAAATTTCGTCCTTTACGTGTGTGGTTACATCACTCGCCTTCGGCTCATGCTGTAAACCCCACACACGTTAAAGACGAAATTGCCCCACACGTGCTGAAATATACTATTTGTTTACTTGTAAACGAACAAAGGCACAGTTCGCCACTCGTTAAATGTAACATCACTGACAAAATAGTATATTATGTTATCAGGTGATAAAAGTGTAATGTTTGTAGATGAGGTAGCAGGTATATTCAT